TTTTTTCTCTTTTGCACTTCGACATTGGTAATCATGAAAATAACATGTATATCTTGGTTCAAAAAAGAGATATTCAGGAGGGATTTTTATTAGAAATTTTATGATTTTGTTGTTGGATATCATATTTATTTGTATTAAGAGTAATTACATGTGTTAATACCTTTTAAATATTGGTTTCTCCTTGGAAATGGGCAAGAAGAAAAGACTTCGGTTTGCAGATAAGAACATTTGGATATCGCCACAACAATGTATGTTTCATTGCAGATCCTATGAGTTTCTCCATTTGGGTTGGTTTGCATTTCAGGACTTGTTATTTTACGGGTTATACTTTTCTTTGTTTTTTTTAGGTGAATTTATTCTAATTCATATTGATGACTCAATTGCAGGTTACTTGGAGAGTGGAAGTGAAATTGAGATATATAGCTTCGATATTACTCTCCCATTCCAAGTGATTGATAAAGAGACCGATATCAAGTTATGTCCTTGGAGGGACGATAATAGAATGAAAATTTTAAACAAGTAACAATCTCTCTATACACGCACACACACAGAGCTAGTAGCTGTTAATTCGTTTTGCAAGTAAACAAAAAACAATGTTAGAACTGTTGAATCTCGATGGTACATCTCTCTCTCTCCCTCCCTCACACACACAAACACACACAAGAATTGTTAAGTACCTCTCTCTTCCTCTCTTTTTCTCACACTAAGAAATGTTTATGTATGAATATAGGCATATGGAGCATGGACACAAAAATATAACAACTAAAACATGGCTTGATCTCTTTCTTTCTCTCTCTCCCACACACACACACATATAATAAAATATACATATGTAAACACAAGATAGACTCTATAACAATGCAAATTTGATATTACTCTCTTTAATGTAGAGATATAAATACAAGGTAGATACTATAGCAATGCATATTTAATATCCCTCTCTATCTCACACACAAACAAGTGATTCCTAATTTATTTTACACCAAAAAAAGACAATGAGAAACAAAAGTAGAATTGTTAAATCCCTATGTTTCCCTTTTTGTCTCTTTTTCCTCATATATAAACAGAAAAGTATAAATATAGGCACAATCACTCCCAAAAATATAGAAACTAAAATATATGCAAACAAAGAACGCAAAATTATGGTAACTAAAATATCCCCTTCCCGTCCCCTCCCCTCCCCTCCCCCTTTCCCCCAAACTCTGATCTCTCTCTCTCTCTCTCTCTCTCTCTTTGTCACACACACATATATACACCCCTATAAATATAGGGACATAAACACAAGGTACATACTATACTAATTTATATTTGATATTATTCTCTCTCTCTCTCTCATATTGTTTAAGAATCCATTTGTTTTATGGGTATCAAATGGAAGTGTATTTTGCATTGTATATTTATTATAAGCATAAGAATCCTTGATTACTAAGAATAGTCTTATACTTGATTACTAAGCAAGTCGATGTATAATCTATACCCCGCCTCCTCTTTTCTCTCATTTTTTATGAATAATTTTAGAGCGTATACTGATCCATTTCTTATTTTTTTGAAAGAAAATCAAATTCATGGCAGTTTTTAGAGCGATTTCCATTTTTTCTAATTTTTGAACGACCATATAATGCGTGTTGCAGGCTAAGTTAGAGAAAAAGGGGAAACAAGCTCTATTTGTATGATGCGGGCTAAGTTGGAGAAAAAGGGAAAACAAACTTTTGAGGTCTTGCAAAAAAGAATTGATAAAAAAAAAAAAGAGCTCATGCAAAGAGACTTAAAGCAAGAGCCATTGAAATAAGGCAGCTATTGAGAATTGAAAGACTCGTCGACGGCATCCTCTCTAACATAAAACCTGTTTTGAAGCTGCTATTTTTGTGATGCTATTTCTGATCCTCTTCCCCCCTCCTCATGTCTCATATCTTGAATATATCAATAAATTAAGGCTTATTGAAAATTGAGATTTTTTGCAATGACACCCTCCTTTTATACACATGGCTAAAAATAACCCTAGTTGTTTAGATGTGAAATCAAGTAGTTGAGGTATATTATTTTTTCACCCACACTTTTGGATTCATAGTATTGTTAAGGTTACCATCTGCTGAAGTTTTCTACAACTACGGGTGATTGTGACCTTTTTGTAGCCAATGTAAATAATTTCTAAATTCATAGAGGAGCAAGCTTTCTATGCTTCTCCTATAGCATAAAACTTATATGCTTCCCCTTTATCCAACCATCCATTCTGAATGGACAGCTAAGATAACCCCAATCACAATGTCATGTCTCTACACTTTTTATTTTTATTTTTTTATATTAATTATTTTAATACCAAAATTTGGGTGTCCATTCCTCTCTTAAACTCGTACTTATAAAAAATATTAAAAAATATTATCAATAAAATAAAATGACCTAAATACCCCTAAAACTTTTAAAGGGTATTTTGGTCATTATTTTTTTTCAAAAAATATTTTTAATATTTTTTTAAGTGCGCCACGTTGAGAAGATGACAAGTCCCAAATTTCATAAAAATACAATTTGTAGAAAAAATTAAAAATTAAAATAGAAAAAAATTATATATATCCCCAATATATATTTTATTATACCCTAACTCAATACTATTTTTCCTTGTATTTATCGAGTCAACCAATACTTTTTTTATTATACCCTAACCTCAACACTATTTTTTCCTCCCAGTCAAATAGTCAAAGTATTTTGAGACAAATGCCATTTTTCCCAGTTTTTTCTCATTGTCCTTTTAGACACGTGATCTCCTCTTATTTTCTCTCTCTACCCATCCCCTCTCTTTTTTTGTCTACTCTCTCTCACTCTCTCTCTCTACCCCCCTCATTCTTCTCTCTATATCACTCACATGCCCATAATACGGTTCGTCACGTTTTTGTGTCGGACCGAATTGTTTTTTTGTGGTTCGACACAAAATCGTAACGGATCGAAAAAAAAAAATCAGTCCGGCACAAAACGTGTCGAACGGCATTGGATTCCAATAACTTTCATATAGCCATAATGCGGCATTATGGACATGTGAATGATAGAGAGAGAAAGAATGAGGGAAGATATAGAGATAGAAAGATAGACAGAGAGTGAGGGAGGGTAGAGAGAGAAAGTGAGGGAGGGTAGAGAGGGAGAGTGAGGGATGGAGAAACAGGTGGAGAGAGAAAGGATGGGTGTGAGAGAGAGGGTTTTGGTAATTGGAGAGAGTTTGAGAGAGAAATATAAAAAAGTATATTGAAAAGGGGAAGAGAGATAAAAATGACACTTTGGTCTCAAAATGCTTTAACTTGGGGGGTAAATACAAAGAAAAATAATGTTGAGGTTAGGGTATAATAGAAAAAGTATTAAGGGTAGGATGTGTAGAAAGTTAAAATTGGGGGCATCTATAATTTTCCCAAAAACTACTCTGAGGCGTCGGATCTAGATCAAACGATGGGTGGCTCACTGCATGGATCATTTGAATGGTTAATTCATATCATCTCTAATGTCAATAGAAGAAAGTAGGCCTTCTTTGTCTGGCGTGGTCATTAACAAAAATTAATTTATATATATTACAGCCTTCTCGTTTTTATAAAATTGACTGTCAAATGACTTAATGTTCAGATCTGCCCCCCTTGGGGTTCTTGGTTAAATATGCCTCTCTTGGGGTTCCTCCATGCGGGATGATTTGGGTTCGAATCCTCTACCTGCATATTTTCAATTTATCTTTTAGAAAGGTACTATAAAAATAGAATATTATTTTTTGCTTTTTAAAAAGGTGCTATAAATATAAATATGCTTTTCTTGACAAGGAAATCTTGGTTGCGTGTTGGTTAAAATGCTAAGTTCTTAGAACACAAAAAAATAAAAATAAATAAATAAATAAAGGTTTAACAAAAGGACAGTGGACTGTTAATAGGATGTTCGTGATAAAAAACTTATATACTTATATATATCTTATAAAAAACTTGTGTACAATATACTTGAGTGAGGCCAAGTTATTGAGCCAAGTCCAAGTGGTCCCGACGAGTCTCAAAGCAATAGAATGCTCATGTTAAAAATTGGCACATGGTTACATATGACTTATTAAAAAGGGAAAATTACATAAACCCCCAAATGTAACTATTCATTCAGCTTACAACCTAAGCTTTTCTAACAATTTTTTCTCAAAAACTATGTTTCCTAGCAAATACCCCCTTAATACAAAAAGTGCACTTTTTTTTTGATGAAGATACCCTTCCCACATTTTAAAAAGTCATTTTCAGGTCCAATAAAACAAAATTACCGGATCGAATTTGTTCAACACCGGAATGCCCCTCCAACAGAAAAAATCCCTGGACCGAAATAAATGAATGACGCCCCTCCAACAGAAAAAATCCTCGGACTGAAATAAATGAACGTCGGACTAGCCTCCCTAACCGTCGGACTGCCCCTTAGAAAGCCGGATTGGGGCAGTTTCAGTGAGATGAAACGCTGGAGTGCCCCATGAAAATGCCGAATTGCGCTTTCTAATCGTCGAACTGCAGTATACGAATGTCAGACTGGCATCCTAATCATCGGACTGCCCCACAGAACGCCAAACCGGGGTAGTTCCAGTGAGATGAAATGCCGTAGTGCCCCATGAAAAAGTTGGATTGCCCTTCCTAATCCCCAGGCTGCCATATACGGATGCCGGACTGGTAACAGTGGGTAAATCGTGAAGAGAGAGAGAGCGCTAGTGAAGAGAGAGGATGAGAGTAAAAATAGGTGGGTAAATCATGAAGATAGAGAGAGTGAGAGTAGAAATTGGTTCGTTGGTAAAAAAGGGGTAATATTGTTTTAGATTTAATTTTTTTAGGTGAGAGGTATTTGTTAGGAAATATAGGTTTTATAAATAAATAAATAAATACAGAAAAGGAAAAGAAAAGAAAAGAAGAAAAAAGAAGTAACGAGGAAAATTTAGGTGGGGGGAGGGGGGTAAGTTGAATGCATAGTTCATTCTTCCATGGGCAGGCAAGAATGTCTTTTAAGGGGTATCTTCGTTATTTGTCAGTAGAGAGGAGGGTTTTTCGTAACTTAACCGCATATAGATGATTTCCTTTCCCTCCAAATCATTCCTGCCGCTGTCGCATTCCACTCGGACGCCGTATGTTCTTGTTTAAATTATTTTCATTTAATACATAATTGTTTTGTAAATTTTCCTCTAAATATCTAAGAAATGCCATTCATTTGATGACGAAAAATTCCCACAAAAGTAGAAGGAAAGTTACCTTTATGCACAATTTTTTTCAGTGTATCATTGATTTTCTGTATATTAAATTATCTGCAATTTAGGGTTTCTGTTGCATTTTAAACTCCCTATTATTTTTTATCTAAATCCTACGGTTTCGCTACCTTTGTTGATCTTGATAGTTCCTATATTTTCTTTATTTTTATTTTTATTTTTTTATATTTAGGTTTTCAGTATCTTAAATTATACTGTTTCATATTCCGTGTTCTACTTCTATGGTTTTGGCTTGAGCTGAATTTTTGGGTTTCTATCGATTTTCTACTGTTATACTCAGTATCTTGGCTCAAATTTTAGGGTTTTGGTTCCCAATGGCTGTGTTTTTGTTCTTATTTTTTTTGTTTTTACCTTATAGGTCCCATTGCAACTGGATTTTGTTCATTTCCTGAATTTCTCTCTCTCTCTCTCTATCGTCATGGCCGATTTTCAAAGCTCAACTCATCGCGAGAGGTGGATGTTCACCCCACAAGCTCTGGTATTGAAGTTAATAAGCGCATGTCTTTTTTTTTCTCCTTGTTGTTGTCATTCAAATAGAATATGAATAAATTCATTCAAATAGAATATGAATAAATTCATAGTTAAATCTGCAGCTCAAGATTCTAATGTGCTTGACCTGTTCAGAATTCATAGTATTAAATTTGGTAAATATCTCAGTGTGATTGTGAATCTTTTTTATGATTCATTCTTATGGTTCCTTTCTTTTGCATAGCGTCACTTGTCCAGAAATTATGACTGCATATATTAGATGTTGAAGTTCAATGCAAGTTAAATTCATGGGACGTGCTATTTTCAAATTTAAGTTTAACACATTTGATGATGAAGACTAAATATATATTTTATTTTATTTATGTTTATTGGTAAATAACAAAGCGTAGAAGGACCAAAATTTTGGGACTCCTTTGTATTCACTATACAGTTTCCTTCGTTTTTTTTTTATAGTCATTTTTTGTTTGTACATATGCAAATATGGATGATCTTCTTTGTATAATATCCAGGAACATGTAATGGATCGAGCTATATGACTAGTCCATGGTCCAAGTTGACAAGAATCATGTGTCTAGTGATGAGGCCCCCACTAGCCTTTGGATTACAATCTACTTTAATGGTTCCACTGGGTGCCTTTTGGTAGCAGATATGAACATCTAGTCGTTATTTTTTTTCCCTTGTATAAATGCTGCATGGTTGGATTTGGACATTTTGCAAAGCGAAAGGTTGTATGGTTGGACTTGGTTCTACGTTTCTGGAAGGATTTATTTGTAAAGTCTCATTTTATCCTTCTTATGCCTAATGCTCAAACTTTTGTTTTTTTGATAACGTTAACTTATTTGATGGCTATTTCAGAATTTCTATGATCTGTTAAGTACATTGCTATTTTAATAATTTCTTTTAAGATTTTGGCATGTTATTCAGTTACGGGAAATGAACGTGAAGATCCTTTTTACTGGGTTTCTCTATTCCAGTTTGTGTAGGATGTTAAGGGTCTAAGTACATTGCTATTTTAATAATTTCTTTTAAGATTTTGGCATGTTATTCAGTTACGGGAAATGAACGTGAAGATCCTTTTTACTGGGTTTCTCTATTCCAGTTTGTGTAGGATGTTAAGGGTCTTTCTTGTAAAAATCTTCGTGAGCATAACATTTGGAATATGGGTTTGTGGAACTCCTTTACTTTTGGCCTGAGAATCTTTTTATTATGTTCTTGAATATTTCTTGTAGACCACATGTTACTAATGGCTAGACTTATTCTTCTGATTAGATAGAAAAATGCCATGCAGCAAATCAGAGAGCTCTAAGGACACTTGAAAAGGTGAGACTCGTACCAGGTCACTTGCGCTTTAGAAATATATCTTTGTCAACGTGTTTTCTTTAGTATTTGGCATTCAGTTGTTACAGATATGTGCTCAGAAGGTAAAAAATTCTTAGTTAGTCTTCAATCAAGTATTTGTTTTATGAAGTTGGATCAAATATAAAAATGAATCTTTTTTTTTTTTAATTCCATTGTTACTTTTATTGTTTTTGGCTGGGGATGCTAATGTTTTGATTTATTTGCTCATTCTTGGTTTGTGCTTGAAATGATCAAGTTTGCTCATTCTTTCTCTAATCTTTTTCTCTCCCTACTCTTGTCGTACAACTAGATTAAATGATCCTTTGTTGTCTACTCATTGAATTTCTATAAAGGTTCCTTGATTTTGGCACTACAGAAGGCCTCATAGTCCACATGATTTCTTTTTATATGCAATTAAATTGTTGAGTGAGGGATCTAAAGTTTGTATTCCTTACAGTTGTACTTTCCAATTATTTATTAAAAAATTTGGTACCTTGCTATCAATAAATCGTTTCTCTGTTATGCCGATTGGATTTTTGGTTAAAATATAAAAATTAACAACCTGCTTGCATATTATTGATACCAGTTGGAGCCCCTTAATGTGCACTATGTTGTAAAAAAAGTCTTTCTTTTTCCACATCTAGAGATGCAATTATTATAATTGTTTTATTTGCTTGAAACTGTAATACCAGTAAAGGGGTGCAAAAGCTCAATGACTTAATTTATTAGTGAAAGAATGATGCCAGTTACCCTTTTCTCAGAAAAAGAAAATGTTGGTGGTACCGTGCCGAGATAGGATGTTATTTCTGTTTAAAAGAAAATAAAATCTTAAATTGCCTGTAATATATTTTTACTGATAGTCTGGTACAATTTTCATTGAAACGAAATCCACAAAGTTTGGGTGGTCTAGGAGAGACAAGTAAAATCTTGGTGGCATGTAATTGAACTGAACATTCATTCTTGCTATAAGTACGTAAAACATCTTCTTCGAGATCATTCACTTGAAGTATTTCAATAGTAAAATGAATAATGTTGTTTAGAAAGAAATTGCCTCTGAGCATTTGAATTTCACTCATATGAAATGCATTGTCTATGATAGGACAGGAATTGATGATCTCCTTGCGCTTTTACCCGGTAAAATTAGGATATGTCTTGATTAAATGAGTTACAAATATGTCTTGAGAACAATTTTCCTGCCAAATGATTGCGTGGCAAAACAAGTGAATTTTGTCTTTTTGGCAAGCAAGCTGGATAAAGAACGCACGACCTCAATTTTGCAAATCCCATTACCTTCCAATTTAGCTATATGTTTTTTAACCCAAAAATGGTCCATTTTCTCTTAGCATACTAGGAAGAAATGTGTTGTCTTCAAATACAATGGCCGTTACTGTTACAAACTGGAAAGGGTCCACTCCAAACCCTGATGGTCCTATCTATCTATATGGAACATGATCATGAGCCCATGAGCTTTTGGGATATTATAAGCCCAATGGCCAAGAGAAGGATCCAGAAACGAACTGCCAGTGTTGCTTATCAGAATATTTCTTCTTTTGGAAAATGGTAGGAGTCCAATGGACTCCAAATTTTTCATGCATGTACGTCCCATCTAGGCAGTCCAAATGAAAATTCTTGAAAAATGCTGGGCTAAGTGTGTCTTCCATTTTTGGCTGTCTAGATCTCCCTCTCCTTCAATTTGGGCCGTTGGGCTTATTTCTAGAGTAGTTTACGCTCTTTGGCTAATAGAATCTCTATCATATATATATATATATATATGGGGAATGATTTCATGCAACGGTTTTATAATAGTATAATGCAATAACACCTCTTGAAAACCATGTTTTTGGCATTTGTGTGACCCCAAGTTTTGCTCACACATTCTCTTTATCCTCATAATCAATCTTACGAAACAAAATTCAATTGCACCCTAGATATGGTCAAAATTAGTACCCTCCAACAATGAATCTCAACCGTCCATTTGGTGAATTTCAAGATCTAGTCCTTGACAAATTCAAAATCACTTTTTCCTTTTTTAGCATTGTTAATTTAATGATGATAACGTTATATAAAAATTTTGATCGTAAAAAAATCCTTATGAGGCCTATATCTAACCATCTCACTAAAATGGACAGCTTATATTAATTGGGCTAGAAAAACACTTTCTAGGATGTTTTTTCAAAATTTCTTTTTTGTAATTGTTCTTTAGAGTTAAAAGAATGTACATTTAAAACTGTGTCAAACAAATGTCTCTAA